GGGGAGCTCAAAGGAACCAGCCTTAATACTTTATAGCACCAGCACTTAGAATAGTAGAAAGATCTAAATGGAAGAAAACCACAGGCCGGGGAGGATACAGTTTCAATGGAAGTCTTTCCCCGAAGTCCTGGACAGAAGGATGGCAGTGCCGGGAGAGCGGAGCGGTGCTCCGGGGGAGTGCTCCAGGGTCAGTGCTCCAGGGTCAGTGCTCCAGGGTCAATGCTCCGGGGTCAATGCTCCGGGGTCAGTGCTCCAAGATTAGTGCTCCGGGGTCAGTGCTCTGGGGTCAATGCTCCGAGATCAGTGCTCCGGGGTCAGTGCTCCGGGGTCAGTGCTCCAAGATCAGTGCTCCGGGGTCAGTGCTCTGGGGTCAGTGCTCTGGGGTCAGTGCTCCGGGGTCAGTGCTCCGTGACGTAGGTGGGAATAATTCAGCCGCACAGGCTCACTTGCTGAGGATTTCTGGCCCTCGAGCTACAGAACCAACAAGAGAGGCTCTGGATTCGAACAGACCTGTTCTACCTACACGCAGGCCACCTCTTCTTTTTCTCTTTTCGTTGTCTGTGCCACGTGGACGCTTTTTGACATCGCCCCTTTCTTGTTGCTGGGGGAGAGGGGAAGCTCGAGGCCAAGCAGCAGCACACAGCCTGCCCTCTGCCCTCGCAAAGCAGATGGGGGCGCAGGCGAGTGAGGAGGAAACAGGGAAAATGCTACCGGAAAGTTCTGGAAGGTCAATGTTTTGGCAACATTGTATTTCCTTTTACTTAACCCCACTTTCCAAAGCAAGTCTCTGTTTTCTTTACTAATGAGAAAGCGAACGCGAGAAGCAGCAATATCCACAGGCATGCGCAGCGCGGGGGGATGGATGAACTCCCGCCCGCAGTGTGTGCAGGAAAACGCCCGCGCCATCGGAGCCACGGGGATGCCGGTGCCGGGTCACCTTCCTCCACAGTGACCGGCGCTTTATGATGTCACCGCTCACGGAGGCCCGGGGCTGACCAGGAGACAGAGGGCCACGAAACAGAGACGCTAAGTCCCAAACAGGATGAAATCTTTTTAAATAAATTTATTTATTAAAGAACTTACTTATTTTTTAATAAATTTATTTATTAAAGAACTTACTTACTTTTTAATAAATTTATTTNCGGGGATGCCGGTGCCGGGTCACCTTCCTCCACAGTGACCGGCGCTTTATGATGTCACCGCTCACGGAGGCCCGGGGCTGACCAGGAGACAGAGGGCCACGAAACAGAGACGCTAAGTCCCAAACAGGATGAAATCTTTTTAAATAAATTTATTTATTAAAGAACTTACTTATTTTTAATAAATTTATTCATTAAAAAATTTACTTACTTTTTAATAAATTTATTAAAAATTTAGTTATTTTTTAATAAATTTATTAGGGTAACATTGGCTAATAACATGATATAAATTTCAGGTGAAGAACTTTATAATACGACGCCCGTGTGCTGCAGTGCGCGCTCGCCACCCGAAGCTTGGCTCTTTCCGTCGCCACCTGTTTGGCCCCCTCTACCCTTCTCACCCCCACCCCCTTCCGCCTGGTCACCACCTGCTGCTGTGCGTGTCTAGAGGTTCGCTTGTCAGCTGCTTTTTGTTTTATTCGCTGTATATACGTGAAATCACACGGCGCCTGCCCCTTTCCGTCCCACTCAGCATAATATTCTCAAGACCCATCCACGTTGTCGCAAATGGCAGCATCTCCTAAAAATGGGCGCTGACAGGAGGGGTGGCCCCAGGGCGCGGAGCCTTAGAGTTTCTCATCGCGAGTAAGGCGCTTGTCCAGGCCGCAGGGGGATCGACCGCCGGCAAAGGAAGTGATTCTTGGGAGGGGACCCCCAAGGCGGGGGGCGGAGTGGGCCTGCAAGGTGCCCCGTCTTCCCGCCTGTGTTCTGGGCCCTGCGGAGGGATGGGGGTCGGGGAGAGTCGGGCGCGGCCGTGCCACGGAATTCTTCCTCCACGGATTCCTTCTGCAAATGCATCCTGAGCACCTACTAGGTGCCACGTGTTATTCCAGGCCCAGGGGATCCCACAGTGAACAAAGGGAAAGTCCTTCCCTTCGGGCTGATTCTAGCAGGGGGAGGTCTTGAACAACAGTATGGACCNGTTATTCCAGGCCCAGGGGATCCCACAGTGAACAAAGGGAAAGTCCTTCCCTTCGGGCTGATTCTAGCAGGGGGAGGTCTTGCACAACAGTATGGACCATGGACAAAAGCAGGGCAGAGAAGGGGGTGCCGGGGGTGTCCAGTGGGGCAGAGGGGCTATTACGAGAGGGAAGACCTCACCAAGAAGACGAGAGATCTGCCCGAACCACGGCGCGTTTTGACGAAGGAGAAAATTAAAAATGGCCTTAGCTTCCCAAACCAGCCCCTAAGGCCTGTCCGGCTTCTAACTTCTCTGGATTCTTTATTTCTTCGGAATTCAGAAGGTCACGTTTGGAGGTCAAGCGAATGAAAACATAAACACGCCCAGCCCCCAGACCGTCAGGGCAACGCCAGGCTCAGCCGTGCTGGTGACGTACATTTTCTCTTGCGAGAATGCAGCTCGGGGTCTCGTCGGAGCCCCCAGTGAGAATCCAGCGACAGGACGACTTTCTGACAGCAACAGAGGAAACCAGGCGATGACGTGTTTGCCCAGCGGGAAAACGCCCATTCGGTCCCAGCGCTGCTTTCGCTGGTCCGGCAAATGCACGCATCGCTCCTGCGCCACTGGGGAGATGAAGACACCAAAGGGGAAAAAGAAGGAACTGCTTTCTTTTTTTTTTTTTAAATCTCTTGCATTCTGCAGACTTCGTCTCGGAGGAAGTCGGCTCCCTGGACAGCGGGAACCTCGCCGTCACAATCCGGTGCGGGGAAGGGGCCGGCGGCGCGGGCCTCATTCCACAGAAAGGTCCTCCCATCGGTGAAGCCAGACGGCCGCCTGCGCGGGCGCCTCCCAGCCGGTCCTCAGCCGGGAGCGGCCTGTTGCTTAGGTTTCCATCGCGCCCCGATTCTGCCCAGAGGCCCGCGGAAGGAATCCTTCTGGCAGCTGGCCGCATCCTGGGCTAAAATATGCTTTTTATATTAACTGTGCCCATCAATTTGCTTCCTGGCGGGATGACATTTTTTTCTTTTGGGTTAAAGAGGAAATACCAGCCATTTATAGCGACGGAAGGACAGAGTGGCGGAATACCGGGCCCCCAGCTGACAGTTCTGTGAACGCTGTTTTTCGACAATGGTGCAGGGGATGCTCGGGCTGGGGCCCCACACGGGGTGAGGTCAGGAGGCTCTCGGGGCTGTTCTCCCGGCCTCCGGCATGAAGACATTCCCGTCGGGAGGTCGGGGGCGCTGCCATCGCCAGGGCGGGTCAGTGTCTGCATCAGGTCAGGTCGTCCCCAGCGAGTCGCAGCTGCGCCTGACTCAGGGTTTCAGCAGCGGCTGAGACATCTGCTTCCTGCAGACGCCGTCGGAACCGCAGGCGCCTTCATGTGGTCTCTCTGCTCGTCTCTTGGTGGTGGAGGGGGAAGGTGGAGCCCTGAGAAAATGCCCGACCTGGCACTTGCCTTAGGGTGTGAATCTCGCCCTGGCCAGTGCGGCTCAGTGGTCAGAGCGTCGGCCGGCACCCCTAAGGGTCGCAGGCTCGATTCCCGGGCAAGGGCACGTGCCTGGGTTGCAGGTTCGATCCCCAGCCTTGGTAGGGGGCGTGCAGTGGGCACCAATCTATGTGTCTCTCCCACTGGTGTTTCTCCCCCCTCCCCCCACGCTCTCTAAAAATCCATGGAAAAAATATTCTCAGGAGAGGAACAACAACAAAGAGCATGAATCTCATTTTCTTCCCTCCTCATTTTTTAAAAGAATTTTTAAGTGTAGCTAATATACGATGTTATACTGGTTATATTAGTTTCAGGTGCACAATACAGTGATTCAACATTTTTATAACTTTCCGACGTGATCACCCCGCCAATAAGAGAGTGAACGTCCTTAACGGCTGCCCTCTCCACTTAGAAACAAACACTTTTGGAGTGTTTTTTGGTTGCGTGCACGCGAACACACACACACACATACACACATACACACACACACACACACACACACACACACACACACCCCCCTCTGGTGACAAAACCCTCCGAGAAAGGCTAACTATTAACTATTCTTATCAAAAATTATAAGGATTTCCTCTGAGCGACGACACTAACATTTTCCACCAGAGGGTCAGGCTTTTCTGGACGCGACCTTGGTGCCCCTCCTGAGCAGGGCCACAGCGGCAGGCAGCCTCGCCCCCTCCGAGTCGCCTGTCCTCATATGATCAAAACGTAAAGATATTTCTACAAAACTGTTTCCTATTATCACACACAGCGGGTCCTTGAACAACGCCATTCGTTGTAACACGGATGGGATGCCGCGGAACCGGGACTCGTGCTCACACCCGCCGGCCTTGGCAACACCGGTTTGGTTCTCCGCTGAACATCGTTTCGCCTAAGGTCGCAGACACGGCCGGCGACACGGAGGACTTTCTGCACCTCACCTCACGTCAGCATCGCCCGCCCGGACCCTTCAAAACCTGAAAAGTTTCTCAAATGTCAGAAACAGACAGACTGCCTCCGTTTCATCATGTGGCGCACCGCGAGTCACTTACCAGGCATGATGATGTTAGAAAAGCCCAGCTTCCTCGTGATGGACACGCCGTGAGAAAACACGGACGAGTACTCCCTTCGGATCTGCTCGATGTCCCCGTGCAGCAGCTGCAGGGACACAGCTAAGCCTGAAACGGNAGCTTCCTCGTGATGGACACGCCGTGAGAAAACACGGACGAGTACTCCCTTCGGATCTGCTCGATGTCCCCGTGCAGCAGCTGCAGGGACACGGCTAAGCCTGAAACGGAGGAGAGACCAGAGTCAAAGCAGGAGCCAGACGCAGCGGGACGGGGACTTGGCCGCTTCCCAGGCCCAAATCAACATGCCAGTAACGTATTTTTTTTTAAATGCGTCTTATTAATTTTAGAGAGAGAGGAAGGGAGAGGGAGAGAGAGATGGAAACATCAGTGATGACAGCCATCGATCGGCTGCCTCCTGCACGACCCCCCGGGGATGAGCCCACAACCCGGGCATGAGCCCCGACCGGGAATCGAACCGGCGACCGACCTCTGGGCTCCTGGGTCCACGCTCAACCCCTGAGCCACACCGGGGGGTAAGGGGACCATTATTTTAAACTAAGGGCTACTGTTGGGACAAAAGCAACACAATCTATATGAGTAACTTCTAGGTCAGGCTTTTCCGGGTGAACGCCTGAGATTTCCCATTTACAAGGAAGGGGGTTCACACGGAGGGGAAAAGCCTTAAGCAGGGCGAAGGAGACGAAGCCTGGCCCTAGCCCGACGCCCCTCCCCAGCAGCACCCACGCGAGTCCTCCCGCCCCATTCCCAGCGCAGCGCAGGGGACCACCGGGCTCTCTACAAACGCGGCGAGGAAGGCGATGGAACCGCAGTGAGCAGAGGTGCGGGACGTGCTTCCGCTCGCCTAGAAGGGGCTCCTCCTCTCACCCTCCCTCAGCCCCACGACTCAACAAACAGCAGCAGCAGCGGCCGGGCTTTTTGGTTTGTTCCCGAGCTTTTCTATAGAGTAGTTAAATCATCAAGAAAATTAGTTTCCGAAGAAAGCATGAGGCTCAGAGAGATGGAGGCTTCCCTGGGTCCAGATCCGGCCTGGACGAGGCCTGCTGCCCGAGGGGCGGGGACCCAAGGACAGGAGAGGTCACGCCCGCATCACCGCATCCTCGGGCTTCCCGGGTGTGGAGCTAACAGAGCCAAGACTCACTGAACCATCAGTGATTTTTTTTTTTTTAATCTTCACCTGAAGATATCTTTTCCACTGCTTTTCAGAGAAGTGGAAGGGAGAGAGAGAGAGAGAAACGTCGATGTGAGAGAGACAGCGATTGGTTGCCTCCCATATGCACCCCAACCGGGGCTGGGGACCGAGCCTGCGACCCAGGTACGTGCCCGTGACCGGAATCGAACCCCTGACCCTTCAGTCCAAGGGCCGGCACTCTAACCACTGAGCAAAACTGGCCAGGGCTTTTTTTTTGTTTTTTTTTAAATGTCGGCTGAATTCTTTACAGAAGATAAGACATCGAGAGAAAAAAAGCGTTCAGAGACGATGTGAATGCTAAAGAAAATTAAAGATAGGAAAATACGCGTTCTAGGGAAAGACGTCCGTGTGCATGAACAGAGGGGCGCGTCCTCGCTCTAGGCAGCAAGAGCCACAGAGGTGAGCGCGCAAAGGGCCAGGGGAGCCCCGTGGGAGACGACAGCACCGGGGCGCCAGCAGGGGCAGGAGGGCGGCAGGCGGAGGCCCAGTGAACACAGACAGGAGT